ACTGAAGTCTGCTGGCTAGGCTGTGCACTAACTGAAACCTCATTTTGAACCTGTCGCACTGAAGTTCCCCAGCAATCACGGGCATAGTGGCCATACTTACCACACTTATGGCAAGTGACGTCTGGTCTGTTGCCTTTGCCTTTCCCTGAAAAGCTTTGCTTCCCACTGCTTTTGCCGCTTGAATCACCTTTCTGCTGCTTACCTTTTGATCCACTTTTACCATCCTTTGTCTTGGTCTTTCCTTTTCCTTTTCCTTTCTGACTTTGATTTCCTTTTGAAGAACCACCTTTTCCCTTTCCTTTGTCACCCTTTTTACCACCACTGCTCCAGTTGCGTCCATCTGCATAGACACGATCAACTTCCATAGGCGTTGAACCTGAAGCGTCATCAAAGATCAGGTTGCTCCATTTCTGTTGGCTTCTGTCCCAACGTAGAACTTGTTCACGCAGCTCTTTGAATGTTGTAGATTCCTGGATTGCTAAGTTCAAATGAGTCCTCAACTGGCCAGAAACACACTTCAGCAAAATCGCCTGCTGAAGCTGGTCAGGGATGCTTGACCCTGCACGTCGAGCCTCTTCCAAGGCTTCCTCCAACTTCATCAACTGTGGCTGCAAAAGTTGGTTCATGTTGAACGTAGGCCAATTTGTAAGGGCTCCCATTAATGCCAAGCCTCTGTTATTGCTAGAAGGCCTCAAATTCAGAATTAACTGCCTGAGCGCCTCGAACCCATCAGCTTGTTTCACTGATCTCACCACATTCAAACTGCGGTTTCTGCACAAAGACGCCAGAAGGCCGTAAAGCTTGGCTCCACGTTGTCTCGTCTCAGAGCTTGCTGTGGACATATCTAAGGGTGATGTAGGGGTATCCACAAGTGACTGGATTTCTGATTCAAAACCAGCATCAATGGTGTTTAGAAACTGCGTCAACATCCAAAGCCAGTCTCGAAACATGCGGATCTCATCCTCCACCATCTTCCCATCTAGTAACGGGGGCTTGTTCACAAGCTTTGACCAATCTGTTGATCCCTGTGGTGATCCTGTAGGACTTCCAGAAGCACTAGCTGTTGTAACCTGTGGGCTACTCGACTGCTGGGCACTTTGCATTGCCTGGACAGCAGCTGTAGCTATTTTAGTAGCCTCTGCCACTTCAAGCAAGGCTGCTTGAAATATCGCAGGGTTGAACTCCTGCGCCATACCTTCAAGTGACCGTCTTTTCAAACTCCGTCTCCAAGCAAGTTTCAAATCCAAGCTTGTATATCCCCAAATGAAATCACCTGGAAAATTTTACACCAACGCCAGTCAAACCTGTAAAATGTCACCCACCAGAAATTGTACCACGCCAAAAATCTGAGGTATTGACAGAAACAGTATGCAGACTGTTCAATGTCCAGTGCAAAACCAGGTATTCAATCTTTCACGCAAATCTCAAGGTCACCAAATTTGAAAATCCACAATTCAGCTCTGCTCCAATCCAGAAAGCCACCAAAGTCAGCAGCAAGCGTATGGCAAAGCACCAAGCGCCAACGGTGCACGGCAATGCTTGCAGGTAGGAAGCACAAAGTGCAGGTAGGAAGCACAAAGTGCTCCGCGGGCAGCAACAAGCGGGCAGCAACACTATTGAACCTCAGGGGCCTGAAGTATGCACATCAGTTTATGTGCTATGGATGAATCTTTGTACACTTCTCGTTTCGATTTGTGTGTGTCATCCACTGGCGTTTGTCTGGACTCAACCTGAATGCATACCTGCACAGCAATGTTTCCAGACTGTCTCTCAAGGTAAATGGTGAAGTGAAAATATTTCTCAGCAATTGATAATAAACTATGAAGAAAACGGGTTGGTGTTATACCATTGTTTCATACTGACGGAGGAGAATTGTTTGTGAAATGTTGGTAAAAAATGCGGGCGAATTGTCCGAGGAAGGGAGGTGAATTTCTGAAAACTGAAGAGGAAGTTTAGGGAAGTGGAGTGACGTTCAAAAATTTCTGTAGGAGGGCGGAGGAGAAAAAGAGGAGTGGAAAGAGAGCGACGGGCACGGAAACCATATTGGCGTGGCTGAAGGAGGTGATCGATGGAATGGGAAAGGCGTTGTTGGATCATGCAGGGCATAAACCGTGTAAATGGAGTTGGCAAGAGAAATAAGGCGATAGCTGCAAGGAGAATGGCTGTTCTTTTGGTTGCCCTTAGAGATCATCCATGACAACTTTGCTAAGCTTCCAGTGGTCTGGGGCGGTGCCCAAAAGGAGACAATCATTGTAGTGAGAGAGGAGGAGGCGCTTGACTGGATGCAATGTTTCCATTGGAAGGTGATCTGGGCCTGGAGCTCTGCCCGTTTTTGTGCAGGGAAGGCTCGATAGAGCTCAAACATGACGAAGGGAGTGTCAAGATCAGGCTGTGGTGGAGCAAGGGGATCTTCAGTGGGATCACGTAACCGATTAGAATTCTAAACATTGTCTCTGAGATTCTGGGCGAGAACATGTGATTTCTCAGTTTTTAGACATGGAGTACTGTCAGGATTATTTACTGACTGGGTTCGTGGTTGGTATTTGGAGCGATTGCGTTTGATAGTTTTCCGGTGATCGGAAGGAGAACCCATGTAATCGAGGTGGAGGTTAGAGGATGTCCATCCTTTTGTCAAGTTTGGAGGATTTTTTGATCTTGTTGCGGCGGGACTTTTGAGTGTCATGCGGAGCATCGGGTAGTTGTTCAAATGGGAAAATGGTATCTGAGGAGATGTGTGGTTTGCGTGCAACAGGGGGGATTGGTGGAAAGCAGGAATCTGCAGTGGAGGAGATAGTTTGAACAATTATGAAAGTAGTTGAATCCTGGGGGAAGGGGGAGAATCGACCCATGGGAGTGCGGGAGGTAACTCCTTTGAGAGCATTGGAGTCAGCACAATCGTTGCCTGTGATGCCCGTGTGAGATCTAACCTTGCGGAGTTCGACGAATGCAGTGGAGCGAAGATGGTGGAAGAAATCATGGAGGAGAATAGCCAGTTCGAGATTTGTGGAAAGCAATGAGACCCCAGTGAGAAGGTCGATGACGTATTGGGAATCCAGGTGAAAGATAATGTGAAGGGGGAATGGAGGGTGGAGAAGCATAAATGCGATGGCTTCGGGTGGAGCCTGGAGTTCCGCTGTGTTGTTGGAGCCGCTGCCTGTGAAAGGAAGGGAGCCGACTGGACCAAAGAGATCCAAGTGAATGCTTTCAAAGAAAACGCCCCAACATGCTGGGTTATAAGGGGAGACATGAAATTGATCGGGGCAGGAGCCATCAGTGTAGATATGGAAAGGAGCGAATGAATTGGGGGATGATGGAGGGAGATTGAATGACTTGAGAGATTCCTCTTGGTATTTGAATTTGTGTTCGAGGGAGGAGAAATCTCGCTTTGGAAGGAGGGGAGGGTCTGTGGGTGGGAAACAATGAGAGCTGCAATTGCGTCGAAAGGAGAAAGCGGCGATGAAACCACGGAAGATAGATAGATAGATAGATAGATAGATAGATAGATAGATAGATAGATAGATAGATAGATAGATAGATAGATAGATAGATAGATAGATAGATAGATAGATAGATAGATAGATAGATAGATAGAGATAGATAGATAGATAGATGGATAGATAGATAGAAAAGAATTTTCCCTTGAATGGGGGTTCCAAATTGAATGGGGGTTCCAAAGCCACATGGCTCTTGGCTGGAGACGTTGCCCCCATGCGAACTTACTATTATGATTATGCTCCGCTGCCAGGCAGCTGCTTTGCTCGGATGCCTTCCTAGATGTCAAACCCTAAGGGCCCATTGGCACAACGTGAAGCACCTGGATGCAGACTACGCCCCCCGAGATTTAACCTAATGCCTGTCTAGGTCTCAAAGAATTTAATTCTCTCAGGCGAGTCCGGTTTGAGGGCTTATTTTCTTAGATATCCAAATATTAAAACTTTAAGTCTAAGGTTATAATCATATATAATAGTTAGTATAAAGATGGTATAAGGTATGTATAAGGTTCAGTCAGGGTTTGGTGTTTATTTTCTACTAAAAAAATAGGGTTCAGAATCAGGATTTTGGTTTTATAGCGTTTACATGCGTTTACCAGAAACAAAGAAGGAGAAAATGACCCAACGTGCGCGCACTGTATGCAAAATCTTTCATGCAATGCCTCGAATTCAAAATACCAGCAAGCTCACTGACGGTCAAATTTCTTTTTCCGCTGGCACACAGAAGTCATGGCCAGTTGCCACACGACAAATATGAGATGAAAATCATTTATTTGCTATTCTTCCTAACTCGCTTGCAAGCTTTCCGCTCCGCCGGCTTGGAAACGTCCACCCAGGTCACAGCACCGTGCGGGTGCACATAGGGCACAGGAGTGAAGTAGGCCAAATTGTTGGTCACAAACCAAGCGTACACTCTGTTGTAAGGAATTTGATTCAAATCCTCAATGCAGTGTGCAAATTTCAAACTCTTCAGTGTATGCCTTTCTCCAGGCACATCTTCCAGGAGCCCTTGCTCATTTCGAACAGCCACGAGGCGACAACTTTCCAAGAAGACTTCGCCCAGTAAGACCTGGGAGCCAGATTGTGCTACAGCAATGATGTTGCCGACCAACTTTGTTGAACTTCCTCTGATCTCCACCGTCTTGACCCCATTGACTAAAAGACGGGCCCATGGCTGTCTCATGACAAGTGCACGTGTAGGTCGGGCACTCCCTGACGGCATGGCATGGTAAAATTCAAACAATCCAAACTAATACAAGGGGGGCGTGTGAATATCCTTGGGCCAGAGTGAAGCCAGCGGCCATTCGCAACATCTTTCTGACAATAAAACGTGGGTTCAATGGCAAATTTACTTGAAAGCGAGCCCACTGAAAGATGAAATGTCACACTTCTCACTGCTACTCACTTGTTGCCCGAACCAAATGCTAAAAAGCAAACCAGCGCAGATTGTTTCCCACTGCCGCACGTTTGTGAGTGAGCTCACAACCGGCCAGACGACGAGCCAGGGTCTCAGTCCACATCTTTCTCATCCTGCTCCTTCTTTTCTTCAAACGGTTCAATCTCATTTTGCTCTTCATCGTCTTCTGGGGCTTCCTCTTCCCCTTGCTCCTGATGATCTTCGCCGCACTCTTCAACTTTTTCCTCGCACTTCTCAGTCTCACAAGTTTCAGCTTCTGCTGCAGCACCCGGCTTGCCACCATCTCTGGACTTGACGGCGTCCCAGAGAGCTTGCTCGCGAGCAGCCTGACAAAAGGCAACACCACATGATAGTCAACAAATACCTGAAAACAACCAGTCAACGAGTGGGCTCAGTACCAATAAGTCCCTATCCTTGATTCCCCATTTCAATGGAAATCTACGTAATAATCTTTTGCCATACGTACTTATTGCTTAATCCTAGCTCGCCTTCAAAAACAGGATATTGCTGAATAACCAAGCCGAGGTTCAGCCATACTCATAACATCGGCGAGAGGAGTTCCCTTTCGCAACTCATTGGCGGCATCCTCGCAAATCTCCCAGCACTTCTCACGGTCCATGAACCTGTTCCCAACCTGAAGCTTCGAGGTATAGAACCCTACAACTTCAAAATGACAGGTTGAAGGCCAACTACGCATCTTCAGAAAAGAAAGACTGTGTACTACTTTAAGCGCTGAGGAATAAACACGGATCTTCTCGGACTTGTCGATCTTGATGCCCCATTTTTGGGAGCTCCCAATCCAGTACGGGTTGCTGATCACCTGTCCTTGACCAACGCCGAAAGATTTCAAGCCTAATGCATTAAGCAAGAAAAAAACCAGATGCAGCCCAGGAACCCGAATGAAGTCACGTAGACACTTTTAAACAAGTTATGACATGAAACAAGTTATTTCAGAACAGTTTTGTACATGGTGCCCGTGTTGCCGTGCCAGTGCCGCGTAGACTGTGGAATGTGGAAAAGGATGGAATGCAAAGTGTGGAGTCTGAAGTGTAAAGTGTGGAGTGTAGAGTGTGGAGTGTGAAATGTAGCGCGTGGAGTGTAAAGTGTAAATTGTGAAGTGTAAAGTGTGAAGTGTAAAGTGTGGAGTGTAAGGTGTAAAGTGTAAACTGTGGAGTGTGGATTGTAAAGTGTAAATTGTAAAGTGCGGAGTCTAACAAAGTGTAAAGTGTAACGCGTGGAGTGTGAAGTGCGGAGTGTAAAGTGTAAAGTGTGGAGTGTAAAGTGTGAAGTGTAGAGTGTGACGTGTGGAATATAGAGTGTGGAGTGTGGAGTGTAAGATGTAAAGTGTAGAATGCGGATAAATGTGGAGTGTAGAGTTTGGAGTGAAAAGTGCGGAGAGTGGTGTGTGGAGCGTAAAGAATAGTGTAAAGTGTAAAGTGTGGAGTGTAATGTGTGGAGTGTAGAGTGTGGAGTGTAGCGTGTGGAGTGTAAAGTGTAGTGGGGTGTAAAGTGTGGAGTGTAAAGTGTAGAGTGTAACGTGTGGAGTGTGAAGTGTGGAATGTAAGGTGTAGGGTGTGGAGTGTATAGTGTAAATTGTAAAATGTGGGGTGCGGAGTGTGGAGTGTAAAGTGTGGAGTGTAAAATGTGGAGCGTAGAGTGAGAGTGTAAAGAGTAGAGTGCAAAGTGTGAAATATCAAGTGTGGGCCTGCCACGCGAAACGAAGCTATGCGCCGTTTCGAACCTCCAAAAGTAACCCCTTTTGCAGAACTCACCATTGGCACGGCCATGCAGCCCTCGCGCGAACGGTTGCAGACAGTTGCAGACGGTAGCGGACTGTTGCAGACGGTTGCGCCACGTTGACCCTTGCTACGCATTCGGAAAAACACAGGAAGAATACCTGATGGCCGGCAACATGAAAACAACTTTGAAACGCAGCTCAAGGAACCTCCGGGTGACTTTCCTGCTTTCCTGCGTTTGCCTTCGCCTTCAGGAAGGGTCTTTGCCGCGGGTCTCTTTATGGTCGGTGATGCCTTGCCATTGCCATCATCACCTTTCTGCGCCACCTGTTCCTCCTTAAGGTCCTCCTTGCTAGCAGGCTTCTTTGGAGACTTCTTCGGGGCCGGGGCCTTCTTTGCGCTCGATGCTGCCTTCACCTTGGCCTTTGGCTTGGACTTGGCTTTCGCTTTGGGTGCCTTCGGCTTTGCTTTCACTTTTCCTTCTGGCTTCTCCTCTTTCTTGTCGGGGCCTTTCCCTGCCGGAGGAGAACGTTCGTTTTCCTTCTTCGTCGGTTTCGCTGGAGGTTTCCGCGCTGGCGCGGGGATGGGCGAGTCCTCAGAACAATCAACGTTAAATTGACATGCTGGACCACCTTGTAACCCAATCATAGTAGTATGTTTGAATTTGGTGACACAATACTCACACTCCGCTTAGTAATCTTACTTGGTACTACAAAAAAAACATTACCATAAGAACCAACCAGGGCTCTGAACCATTTGACAACTGATCGACCTGGGTCAAAACTGGCATGGCTACAGGCTCCTGAGATTGATCCTGTCTGGGGAAAAAATGGCCTCGGTAAAATACTCGCTCATCACGTAATCTTGCCGGCGCATTCTGGTAAAAACATGCCGGATGTGAACACCAAAACATCTCCTGATGCTTTCCTCACAATCATTATTCTTCGAACTGCCGGTCCATGGCCTCAGGGCCAATCACAGGGACATCGTCCTGCCTTCTGATACTCTGCAGAGAATGGTCGCCAAGTCTTCCAAGACAATGGAAATTAAATTTGCCAGAAGTTCGCACAACACATATTCAAGCCGTGTGGGCTGCAACTGTGTAAAACAAATCCACAGCACCAAGTTCAGGCAACAGGTGGCAACCATACTCTGACTGGGTAAGAAAACGCGCGGGGGTGTTGTTAAATGAAATGCACCCCCCACGTGGCTACTCCAAAACTAAGCTTACGTACGTGAAGCTTCTGGCAACGAGTCGGAGAAATCTCAGAGTTGTCTCAATTTGACAACTTGTACCAAGACTTTGGTTCCAGGCAAAGGGAGCAGGTCATGTACATCTTCGGCTTTCGCGGTTGGATCACTGCTGGGCTGCTGCTGGCTTCAACCTGTCAGTCAAAAATCCATGCGTTGGAGCCCTAACCAAACACGTCACAGGAAATGAAATGGACTCTTCTCGGCTTCATCCCTTTTTGAGTCATCGTCAAACCCCATGCTCATGACTGGCAAAAAACCCTGCACCACTGGTTTTTAACCAAGTCTTGACGTGGAGAAACCATGCCAATGTCAAGAGGTTAGAACTAAACAAAACAAGGATCCCAAAGGATGGTTGGCTAAGTTTCAGAGACACCAGCTGGAGCCGCAGCTTGCAAGACAGAGATGCTGAGGTCTAAACAAAATGAGACTGGCAATGATTGGATTTTCTTACTTTAAAGGTATGGTTTAGGAAGTTTACGGACACGGCTATTATGTGGCTTTGGGCTTAAGGGCTAAGGGCTTGAGGTTGCGTTCTGCTTGCCGACGCACTTTTGGAATTGCCCCAAGAACGAAAAGCTTCAAACATAATGTTGCTTCAATAGTGCTTGGCTTTCAAGTTTGAGCAATAAAGTTCATGTTAAAGGCAATCCACCTACAAGTTTCAAGCATGGCTGGTAGATGGCATGTTTGTGTGACTCATACCGGCTGCAAACACACAGCATCACAATATGAAGGAATTGTGTTTTGATATCAAACAATTAGCTAGCTTTCCAGAAAGGGTTCGCAAGCTCAAGCATGACAGTAAACCGTTAGGGCCAATCTCGGGAGCCCAAGCTAATATAGCTCGTTGCAAACCGGTAGCCCGAAATCTGACGATGCCGTTGCTCAGAACCAATTAAAAATTTGTTGGGGGTTAGAGATGTTGGAGCATGCTACGAAAAGAAGAGTCAATGCTCAGAATGTGCTCTGTGAGATCGTTTTTGGGCACTGTTGGATTATAAGATATTTGACAGGCTCTGCTCGACAAATATCATCGTGCTGTACCATATCTTTGCACAGTCCACAAGAAGTCGTAAGACCTCAAAAAGTACATCCTCGCGAAAAGTGGTCCGTTAAAGGGTTGCTGCCGAGGATTCATAGCAATGCCGAGGATTCCCAGGCCGAGGATTTTATAACTTTGCCAGAAATTCTACAGCCGAGGGTTTGTAGCGTTGATAACTGTGCCGAAGATTCTACTGCCAGGAGTTTATATAATAGTGCCACGTACTTTAGACATGTTTTGTTTCAACATACCATGTCGCAACCGCATGCAGGCAGCTGACATATGTTTTTCCAAGCTCAATGCTTGTCCGTGCTGATTGCTGTTTTCGTTTTCTGGCCTGGAAATTCAACCACCTCAAGCCTGTTTTTATTTTTTGTTTTGTTTTGGAGCGGAAATTTTACTTGAAAGACTTTTTTTGCGACATGTTGTCAAGAAGACGGGCTGCTCACGCTTGCTCACGCTTTGCTCAGGATTTGCTTACACTTTGCTCACGGTTTGCTCACGCTTGCTCACGCTTTGCTCGCGCTATGCTCCGCTCGCCAAGGTTCCTTTTGAATCCTTTACATTCCGATTAAGTCCTCACGAAGTTCTTCTTGGGTCCTTACGAGGATCTGCGCACAGTGCTCACGGTTAGCTCACGGTTTGCTCACAGTTTGCTCGCGCTGCTCACGCTTTGCCCACCCTTTAGGGGATGAGGTGTTTTTCTTGATGAAGAAAACCAAAAGCTAACCATGCCACATTCAATTTGTTCCGAGCCATGTGTACCTAAGGCACACAGCTTTCAGGCCGCAGACTCCTTGAAGCTGATTTTCACATCTAAAAAAAAACACCCACATGCCACTCACAACCCTTTGCTGAAGCGGGGTTGCCACACTCCTGCCTCAGCCTGAGATATGTATATACGTACAACTGCCTTTTGAGCCCAAAGGACTCATCTATAATATAATGGTATTATGACATCTTCCTTTGTAGCCCAAAGGGCCCAAAAAGTACATCTACAGATGGTATTGTGCAACGTTTTAGGCTCAAGGGCCCAAAAAGTACATAGTCCCAATGCTGAACATGTTCCTTTTGGGACCCTTTCCAGGACATGCCACAGGACAGTTGTCCCTTAGGCTTTTCTGGTGTCTTGATTTTAGTGCAATTGTACTATGTGCAACGTGCTCAAACCAAAACAAAAAATACCAATGTTTTGGGCACCGTACATGTAAAAAACTGTTGTATGAGACTACCGTGGTTTTGGGTACCATGTGCAAAACCCTGCGAATACCGCGCTTTTTGGTTTTCATGCGGTTCAAAAACATATTATCATGGTTTCACCTCCGTCTGCAAAGAAAGATGATACATGCAAACGCTTTCTTTTAAAGTTTCGCCCGTAGGGCTCCCAACATGGACTCTCATGATGCTATCTATGATAATAAAGCAAAGGATTCACCACATGATGGATTCATATATCGAAATAGTTTTGGTGATGGTTCTTTAACGTGATGGGTTAAATTGAATGGCGAGCCCTACTTGTATCACTAGTGTGCGAAACTCTACGCTAATCATTTCGAACTCTCTACACTCACAACTTGTGGCTAACAAGTGCTGGCTAGCTATTGTTGTGTTATTGTGACTGCACAAAGTATTGCCCCCCTAGAACATGAAGAGCGAATGGCCTCCCAAAGAACTTGCACACGAGGGCTGGCAGCAACCTTGTCATACTTTCCGGCCATCAAGGCTCCCATCGTTTGGGATCTCACTGCAGATTCCTGGTCCAGGGTGTTGGGCTTGAATATGTGCGTCTTCCCACTGTCTAAGGCAGTGATGCGGTAACGGAAGGAGATGGGGACAGGTTCCACACCAGCTTCCACCTGACAAGTGTCTGACATAGACGTTGACGGACCTTTACCCTACGTTTTGTCCTGTTTTGAAATTCGAAAATGTTTTTAGCCCAACAGTCACCTGGTGGGTCATTGGTGTCAGCTTGTGGTCCTCCACCTCCACTGCACTGATGCCCTTCTGGGTGGCCAAGTTCCGAAGGTACTGGCACATGGGAAGGATCTGCTTGTCCTCCACGACGATCAGATTCAAGTCGCCCTCTGCAAGGCGAAACATGAGCCCCTTCGGGTTTGCGGTGTCCGTACCTCCGCATGAACATGAAGCAGGGCGCCTAATATCAGTATGGTTCATGTCAAAAAACTTTAATTGTTGATGCCCGTGAATCTCCTAAACGTGGTTTGGGTGAAATTTGGCATTCACTTAACCGAGTTGCCAGGGACAACGACCTCCTCATAAGCACCTGTGTTGTATCCAAACAGCTCAACGGGACCCATCGTGCAAACAGTATCGGTGGTGTTTCCAACCCAGATGTCCAAATCCGTGGTGATCACAACAGCTGGGCGCTTTGCCGTCATGCTGATCGCCCCAAGCCTGAAGCAGAGCCGCGGAACAATCACACTCTTAATCTGAAGAGTTCCTGATTCCTGGTGTATCGAAACAAACTGATAAGAACAACAATGACGACTGTAAATGTCTTGACAACTGCAATTAAATAATGTCTTAAAAAACATTGAAAGTAAGCGTCTTTGCTACGTCCCACACTGTCCAAATTGTTTCATACGAAGACGAAACCGGGAAGTCAATCAAAAATTGAGAATTTCAAAACAATCCGTTGGGAACCGTTGTTTGGCTGCATACTTTCAACACTTGGTCCTCCTGACTTGGAAATCTTCATCCTTCACGGCCACCAAGTCCAGCACACGGTGTGGATCCAAAGGAAGTTTCCCACCATTGATGCTGAAGTCACACAAACCTCCAGAGCGCGGTGGAGCCGCTCCTGGAGCAGCAGCTGCACGTTGTGGTGCAGGTGGAAACATCTTCGTGAACTTCTCAAAAAACGCCTCGATCTCCAACTGCTCAGCAGTTCCCTGAGGAAAGCGGTTGCGGACAACATCCGGAAAGATTGGATGCCCATCTTGAAAAGCCAAGACTTGAAGGGTCGGGAGCGTTCTAGGGCCAGACTCTTCACGAGGCCTGGTCTTCGCTGGCGCCATCGAGCTCACGTCCCAGAAGTCCCACACTTTGGAACGAATGATGGCTTGCAAATCCTTGAGTGAAGTCGAGTCAGTCGAATCCTTCGACTTGACAAAGCCCAAATACCGAAGAGGGGACCCGGCATCCTCCAAGCGGATCTCAGCAACGGCTCTGCTAAACTCAGCGAACCTGCTGTCAGGGTTGAACTAAGACTATTTGGGATAACAAAAATTTTAGGATGGAGCTCATGGTCCCGCAGGAAAGAACAGCGTCATCCCATCAACTGTTTTGAAGCCTTGCCTGTTCGGTACCAAATCCACCGCAAGAAGCCTGTCTTCTGCTTTGATGTCCATCCCACACATGTACGACTCCAAAATTTTCTTGTGTGCTTCCACGCCTTTCCTTGCAAGCAACGGGCACGTAACTACAAACAGCTACCCATCTTAAAACACCCCCGTTTTGAAATTAAGTGTTGGGTGAAAACAGCAACCAAAAGTGACATCCGAGAGTCTGCTCCACTCTTGCTGAAGCACCTGGACGTGTGATGTCATCGTATCCTTGGAACTGATTGAAAGGCAGCAGCGGCACAGGCCCAAGTTTGCCCTCCACCAAAACCCGTGAGCTCAGCCAAGCACTGTCCGGGAAATTGGAATGGAGCAAGCCAATGCAGGGCTGGCTCAGAGCCCTCTGGTCCCGGGATGAAGTTGACTCATCCTTGTTGAAGAGAAGCTGAAAAGCATTCACAATCGACATCTTGCTTGCAATCAGCTGGTCTTCAATCAAGCGCCGATGCTTGACCATCGCGGGCATCGTTGTCTGGCTCTGGAAAACCGTAACCTGGTAGTGCCCACAGCAGTTTGGGCCCATCCCCAAAATTGACGCTAGTGCTCCAATGGAATTGCGCACATAGGCAGCATTGGCAGGAAAGACCGTGGCATCGTAGGCACACAACACGAACCTAGCAGTGAGCATGGAGCATGGCGCACGGCACTTCAAAAAAATGCTGGCAGCAAAACAATGATGATACGTTGCTAAGAGTCAGCATGGTGATAAGCTTGCCTCACCAGGTGTCTAACCATGCAAGAAACAATATAGCCAAGTGCGAGCTTGTGCCAGCCTCTCTCTTCGAAATTAACTTCGGTGCATCCAACACTCATGTGTGTATGTGACATTCGACACCTTTGATGAACCTGCCTGAAAGAGTATACCAGCCAAAAAAAACTAACATGAAACTTGAGAGCATTCCTTCACATTCGAGGCGCTCGCGTCCTGGGATTCCCCTGAACTGCTCCTTGAAGTTGATGAAGTCAGGCACAGCCTGCTGCATCTCCGCATCACACTCGATCAGTCTGCAATTCTCGGCCATCCACTTGTCGATGAAGACATCACCCTTCCTGTTGAGAGAGGCTTTGCAACTTTATGATGACATCAAGTTGTGACATGTGCCCAGCGCCAAATGGAAAATGCTAAATGAATCAAAGAGTCATTTGCCGTTCTCGAATCCATTTCAGATCCAATGCGGTCTGCTTGGCCGCCTCAACATCACCCCCTGCCAAGCCATCCAGAGCCCTCAAGTCATTCTCCAAGCGGGAGATCAGCTGCCTGAGATCTGCCTGTCGCACAGCCTGAGCGAGATCTTCATCTTCCTTGTCTTGACGGATCTTGCTGGCACTCTCCACTCTAGCAATGAAAGGCCTGCGGCAAAATGCACATGAATGCACCGAACCAAAATCTCATTGCTATCCCCCACCCCAACGGTTATCATGGTGTTTTATTCGGTTATTTATATATATATATATGCCATATGCTTTAGTGTTGGCTGGAACGTTGGGCAGTGAGCTGTTGAAATGCAGCATGGTTGATGAAATGGCCTGAAGGCTGACACGCTCCGCACATCCCCTGGGGGGACTGAAGACTCAAGGCCGTGAAGCAAGTCCGGGTCCAGGTACCCAAATCCAAATTGGGAAGTCAATGACGTGGCAGCTTCCTGATACTCCGCCGGGGGTGCAATCTTCTCAAGCTCGGAGAGAAAATGCACAAATGCTCCGCAGCATTGGTGGGCAACAAGGCCTTCTTTGTGCGTCATCGCCTTGCGCATCGGAGCGGGTGTGTTGTCGAAGGCGGCAAGAATCCGCTGCAAGAACAGGTCCACCTAGGCACCAAAAGTCAAGCAGGCCAAAGATATCGATCTAAAAACAAATAAAGGGAATTAAAAACTGAAACCAGAAATCTTGCTTTTCCCAAGCAAATTGAATCAAAAGAAAATAACCTCAAGTCGATTCAATGGGTCAAGCTGCAATCTTGTTATTGGGCTTGTTTCGCAGCTCCTCCTTCCAGGCTTCCATCTGACCAAGGCCTGAGCTGAACGATCTGTTCAGCAGGTCCTTCGCCAGTAATTCATGTGTGACCAATTTAGAGAGCCCTCGGGTACGAACTGCCTCGGAGAGGGCTGCCACGATGTGTTCAGGCACGCGGCATTGCAGATTACTCACGGCCTCTGACTCAAGCTTTCCCAATTTGAAGGCACGGGCTACGCCCACCGCTTGTTCCCAGTCCTGTGGGTTTGGCAGACAGTGTGCGAATTTAATCATTGAGCATGTGCAACGAAAGAGATCCGAAATCCACAACATGGATCCCGCCCCTTTTCGGTAGCAAATGATATTGGCAAACACTTCCGCAATAAAGATGCTACAAATCCGAAAAATGGCTCCCACTCCTGGGTAGCAGGCGCTTATTATACTGACACATGTTGACAAGTTTCATTATCTCACATTTCAAGAATAATTTACGGATGTGCAGTTACTGGGAGCCCCGGAGTCCTCGAAGTGTTGCATGCCGCCAGAACCGCCACTTCTCTGTATGATCTGGATTTGTCGCAAGAAATTGAATGCATGTGGCGGCCTTCTGGTCGCTACCTGCTGCAGCGTGGCTCCTGTCCAAACAGAAGAGCCGCTGAATACCAGGAACCCATGATTAAAAAGGGAACTGCAACGCGGCAGTGCCCTAATTGTTTTTCAGTATCATAACCATCTCTTGAATCACACCCTTTGCAAATCGTATGCAGGGACGTTAAGCACAAAATCCCACACCTCGATTTGCAAAGACTTTGCTTCTGACGTCGCTGAATGCGCCAAAGCTGGCATGCACGGTCCCAAAGCTCACCTGCATGATACAGGACTTGACTTCCAATTAACAGTGAAAAATTTCAAAGGCAAATGTGCTCGTAGAAGGTAATTTAATAGATATCATCATCAGGTCAAGCTTCCAAACCAAAATACTTTCCCGCCCACGTGGGGGCATACTCCACACAATCACATCCAAAATAAATCCGCCCACTAGCCAGTGAAAGAATTTCAAGATGAAGACGACCGCGCCTTGATCCAGTGGGGAATCTGGTCCTCAAGCTTGAGCTCCCTAATGGCAGCCAAAGTTGTCAACAGCATCAGGCCGCGCTTCCAACCCTTGATGTAAGCCACGCTGAATGGCAGCAGCAGTCCACCTTATTACAACACGATGCCAATCAGAAAACAATTGAGACACTAAACGTTTTCAGCTTAGTTACTTCCGATGACAGCTGGAAGTTCATCATAAGGGGATTCCAGGTACTCGTTGGGCAATTTTGTCATTGCCAATTTCTCAGTGGCCACCTTGTCCGGGTCACTGTTAAACCTTTGCAGTGGCACAAACATGCAGCATACTACAGCTTTGCAATCTTCAACGCATTAATCAACCAGAAACTCAAGATTCATGTTATTAACTCAATGTGATTCTGGGGCCAGCACCCTTCCAGTCCGATCAATTCCATCAACATGATCGCCTGCTCAGGGTCTATGAACCCTGAAATTCCGAAATCGCTTCGGAATGCCAGCATCCATGGGCGCAGCAATCCAGGGACATCCATGTTGGAGGCATAGGCCTTCCTGGCAGGACTTCTGACCAGACTTCTTAGCCTTTTTTGGGGTAAGCTTTTAATCTGTAACCTTGAGCAATCAATGCCCACAGTTGAAAGCTGGGCTCCTGACGTGCTATCCGCCGGGGCAAAATCGTCAATCCAGCGGGCGAAATCCAGCAATGACTCCTGTATATAAATAATCCGGGAAGATGCTAGGGATCATCATCACCAAAACTCAGCAACAATCAATTCTTATACCGATGAGAAGATTGACCCGCCCAAAACGTGCAACATGTTGCGTGTGCACTGCCAGGCTGTCTCCTTGTCGGGATACTTTTTCCCCAAAAAGTCAGCAGGGCCTCCTCCAGCCAAGACTTCCTTCTCAAGCCTGGAAACTAAGCAGGCAAAAATAAAAGTTGGTCAGGTAAAGGTTTGAATAACAGGTCTCAACTTGCTGCGCGTGATGGAAAATATTGTGTCCAAAGGCATTGAGCCAAGCAGCCAGTTTGTCATCAGCGGGATGTACGGGGAGGTCATAATCTTGTCTGGGTCTGCACGGCCAGACATTTTCGCGCTTTTGGAAGCTGACTTGTTGTCAGCCCCGTTGCTTTTCCGCTTGCTAGGCGGCATGGGTCCGGCGAAATCACAAACCGACCGATCCAATGCTACCTTCTGACTGATTCAAAGCCTGAATTTACAGACATTGATCGAATTGCCGTGGCAAAACATTTTCTCTTGGCAAACAGAAGCTCTGAATGAATTGTCGTTTAGTGACGACAGATATAAAAGCACGGTTGTTTGAACATCCACCCCAAGCCAAAGATCCGTCACTTCAAGTTCCCCAAGCCAAAGATCCGTCACTTCAAGTTCCCCTAGCCAAAGATCCGTCACTTAAATCTCCCCCTAGCCAAAAATCCGTCACTTAAATCTCCCCCTAGCCAAAAATCCGTCACTTAAATCTCCCCCTAGCCAAAAATCCGTCAGTTAAAGCCCCCTAGAATCTTGAAATCCGTCACTTAAGCTCCCTAGAATCTAGAAATCCGTCACATAGACATAGTCCTGAAGTAAAATCCGTCACTTGCAGTCATTTTTGATTCAGACCCCGCCACCTCTTCAAACTCAAACACCCTCCAAGTGACCAATCTGGCCGAGATCCGTCACCAAGTGACGGATTTTTGCGCCGATGATGTTCCAACCGACGGATTTGTTGTCAACATTGCTCCAAGTGACGGATTTTTGTGAAACATCTGACTCAAGTGACGGATCTTGTCAAGATCAGTCAGCTGGTGAGTTTCTTAGGAGTTACCATCAGCAACAATTGCAGCTTTGAAGTTCCGAATCAAGCTCCAAGATCCAACAATTGGTCTTCAAACCAGGGTCTGGGAAGCAGCTCTGGAAGTGACTGATCTGACCTGTGATTGGTCACTTGCAGGCTGTTTCTGGGTGATCCCGCACTACCTTAGAAAAATTACATCATAGTTTTTTAGTTCAACCACTGGTTTGGAGACTGATTCCAGGTCAGATCAGTCCTGAAAACGATGGTTGGAAAGAAGCACGGTTCGAGACCAATATTGAAAAACTGAGTGACCATTTTTTTCTTCCCAGAGAGATACCCCCCTAAACGGTACTGCCGCACCCTGGCTCCGGAATGCCGCGGGGTTTAGGGTTTAGCCCAGCGACTAAACAAAAAGATTGGGTCTAGGAGTTGTGATGTCGCAAAGTTTTATATGAATGCATGGCTAAACCCTACCATGAATTGTCTCTGTCAACCTTTCCGCTTTCCCTTCCCCTTCCCTTTTCCTCTACCTTTGGCAGAGAATTTCAGGGGGGGGGCACTACCATTTGCGGAAGTGATAGCCTTGTCGGCAATCTGAAGGGCTTCTGCCCATGGAACCCCTTGGGCCCACGCTTGTGCTGCTGCTTTGTGCACTATTCTGATTTTTGCCCTTTTCGTATAAGACTTCACCACGGCCGTGGCCTTCTCAGGCTGTTGCAACCTCACTGAAACATCAGCCAAACTTCAGTTCCTACATGTTTTCTGAATTCCTTGCCAAAAAATATGCAACATATTTGAACTATTTAAGCTTGCTACCGAATCGGATTCGGCGCCACTGCAAAAGTATCAGGACGATGGTTGCCAACAACGATTGGACCTGCTTGGAGTGGTCCACTGAAGACGCACACCCTGGAGTGAGCCGGCATGGATGTCAGAAATCATGCAATGTGAGGGCGACAACACATGGCAAAACACTTCGGGCAAGCAACCCGGAAACATCCAACAAAGGATTGGGAGCCACTGTCCCATTGACCCAGCTTTCAAGATATTCGGCAGCTCGTTCCAAGCTAAACAGCGGGTTTCTCATCATCGATGAATACTTCAGAACATGCTCCTGGTATTCCGTCCCAAGGCTCTTTTTCTCTGCAATGCCTGCACCAGCCACAAAACTGGAAGGGCCCAACAAAAACTGAAAGCCAATTACGGAAATCGAAACAATCGAAATGTGCAACGTTACAATCCATCGAACTTTGTGAGGCCAAGATGTTTCCCAAATCAAGCGAAGTTCCCAGCCTGCCGGCAAACCCAGTGGCATCCGCTGCAAAGCAACCTCACGAGGGTAGAACAGCAACGTGTTGGTGAACTCCTGGCTGTGCATCCACCTTTTGGTCCTGATTGGGCCATGAATCACAAACACAAAAATTTCAGAAACAATGTCACGATGAGGGCACAACCACCTAGAAGCAAGAATGAAACCATTGCAAAGGAACATCACTTGCTAAGAAAAGTGGCCCCGGCCTGAGCAAAACATCCTGTGGGTGCGGAGAGCAATGCTTCCAGAAATCGTTTGTAATTTCATCTTCAGCAAGTCCTGCGTCAAGCAGCCAACAGGTCCCTACTTGCCCCTGTGTTAAAACCTGAACAGAAAACAAACTGTCCCGAATCACACCGACGTTGAAGCAGAAAAGTGTGAGGCGCCCCAGGACCAAACATGCCTTTGACAGCGACGGGCACAGCAGCCGTGTAGAACCCCTTCCTTAGAAAAACAAAGATGGCAATTTGCAAAGCTACCATCACACTGACTATAAGTTGTATGAAAGCACATTGGAAACCGGGTTGAAAAAATCCCATTCCAGTCCACTGCCACAAGTGGCCAATCCCGGGTTTGGTCCACATGCACAACGAAGCGATTCTGCTTTTGCTCGAACAGTTTGGCTTGTTCCAGAAAGGAACGGATGCAGTTGGCGACATCGCCTGGTGTCTGGAGAACACGCCATCTCAACATGTATCTGCTTAATTGGCCGAAACATTGGTCAATGTCCTCATGGGAGTGGCCGGCTCTGAGGCAACAAAGTGCCCCAGAGCAGACCACTCCCGACGACACAATGCCGGCCAAAAACCTGACCATGGGTGAGTTCTTGCATTCTCTGCAAGTGTTGTCAGATTGAATTGTCAGGTGCATAGTTTGTAGCGGCGCCCCATGCCTTTTCAGCAATGTAATCGCGTGTGCGATTAGTTCCACAGATGTGTTGCTATCTTTAGGCAGGTCGGCAGGGGAAATTTGAAAAATCGTAAACCAGCCGTGTGCGATCAGGGCCGAGACATGAAGTCTCGGCCGCTGAAATGAGGCGAATTCCTTGCTTCTCATAAGTTCTGTTCTAGGCAGATTGAACTTCGACTGGTCCATCCCGTCTGTGATGCATGTCACAGACAGGGTTTTTTGTCTGGACTCTCCACGTGCCTGCCAGTAAATCAACCGGTCATTGTATTGGTGTTGTAAATGTTGATAGTAGAACTGCTGTTGCGCGTGTCTCGCACGTAGGTGCCCTGAAAGGCATCTGATCATTGCCTTGTGTCTGATGCACGTACTGCACTCACCATGTTGCGAACGACTTCTGAATTTGAGGTGCGGGAAGTCGCTGAGCCAGACCTAGAAGACTTCAATTTTTTTTCTAATGGGGGCAAAGGTGACCTGGCCTGGTACTATACACGAACCATTTGTGCAATAAATTTGAAAGCCGAGGTCTAGGTCTCATTTCTGCTCGCAACACGCGCCCGCATGAATGCTGGCGGCTGTATAAATCTTTTCTTTTTTTAAAAAAAAGATGCAGCCCACGAACCCGAATGCAGTCACGTAGAACACTTTTAAGTGGATCAGGTTGTTTCAACAGTCTTGTACATTTTGCCCCTGTTACCGTACCAGTACACTGTAGACTGTGGAATGTGGATCAGGATGGGGCTGTAAAGTTGGGGTGTGGAGTGTAAAGTGTACAGTGAGGAGTGTCGAGTGTAGAATGTAGAGTGTGAGTGTAAAGTGCAAAGTGTGGAATTGTAAAGTTAGAGTGTAGAGTCTGGAGTGTGGAGTGTAAAGTGTTAATTGTAAAAATTGCAAAGTGTGGGGTGTAACAAAGTGCAAAGTGTAACGTGTGGAGTGTGGAGTGTGAAGTGTGGAGTGTAAAGTGTGGAGTGTAGAGTGCGGAGTGTAAAGTGTAGAGTGTAAAGTGTAAAGTGTAGAGAATAAAGTGTGGAATTGGGGCCTTGATCGAAACGAGCATTTCCTGCAAAGCTTCCTCCAATTTTCCTACGGTTTTTCTCACGAACCTACCTCAAAATCGATGTTTCGTGTGAGGCGTCCGTCACTTTTCATCACATCCACGGAACTGCCCGTTGTCACCACTTCGCGCAGGGCTGGCAAGTGCGATTCGCAAAAAAACACGGAACATGACGACACTACGTGCAAAGGGCTGCGCCTGCCACGTAAATTGACGATGGGGGTCTTCAAAAGTGCTGTGCCTGCCACACAAAATGCCTTCTGCCACGTCATGAAACATGTTGGAATGTCACAAAGCGCCGCGCCCTGCCACGCGAAACGAAGCTATATGCGACGTTTCAATGTTTCAAACCTCCAAAATTAACCCCTTTTTGCAGAACTCAACGTTGAGCGAAGACAGCATCAACCCCCAGACCCCGAAACGGGAACCCCTGCTACGCATCCGGGAAAAGCACATATAACACAGCGTGTTTTATGTTGGCAAGTATCGTAACACATGAAACCTGCCATTTAGGAGCGCAAGACAACATGACATAGACACACAGCAATCGAAAGTTCTACATAGAAGGTGCATAGTGGGCACTTGGTAGGAGGCTCACCAACAAAAACCATAAAGTCTCGAAAATCTTCCATCCGATGATTATAAGAAGCTTAAGTCTTTGTCATGTCTGTAAATCGATCGGTTTTGGGAAAATGTCCTCAGAAAGCCAAGCATCTCTCCAGAATGTCGGGAAGGAGGCTTTCGTCTCACAACGTGAAGCCATCTTGTATTGCTCCCAATGGTCTTTCATGGTGCCCGGGGGAAGGTAACGGATCTCCTCATCTGTCCGGAGCTCATTGATGCGGACACCCCTCCGGAGTTTTCTACGTTTTGGCATCTGATCCGAACCATGAGCTGGCAAGCATGCTTTGGCACTTGCCACAGCTGATAGCTTCTCGGCATATGGGTCGAGCTCAGTCTTTGATTCAGAATTCTCCAACTTAATTTCTTCCTCGCGGCTCAAGGGGTCATCCCTCACATCAGGCAAAGTCTCCGCGCATGAATGGTACAGCTGAAAAAGGAAGGCAACAACATCTGCACGGGTCTCATCTTCCTTGACAGACTCTTTGGGCCGACTCAAGTAGCGGAGGTCCAGTGGCGCAGAAGTCTTCCCTGCTTTGGCCGCTTGCAAAAGCTTGCCGAATCTCCGGTTTCCTGCCACGCCAACAACTAGTTAAAATTTGAATACCATATCAATAAATATGATTCCAACGAGACTCCGCACACCTCTCTTGGAGGTGAAAGTTTGCCGACATGAACCGGAATGCCTGGACCGGAAATAACTTCCCAAGAAGTCCTAAGGCATCAAAAAGTACACCCGTGTGAAAAATGATCCGTTTCAAGTCGCAACCGCGCTCGGGCAGCCGACATATATATTTTTCCAAGCTCAATGCTTGTGCCGTGCTGATGTAACCTGTAACTGTACCGTTTTCATTTTCAAAAATATCACGCCTGTTTTTGGACGTGTTTGTTTTGTTTTGGGGTGAAGTGATGAACCAAAAGTGGAATAAACTGGAATAAACCTTCCAAGATGCACTTTCCTGACTCCCTGTTTATTTTTAATCCTGACTCCCTGTTTTTATTTTTAATCCCTGTTTTTATTTTTAATAGGGAGTCAGAATCAAATAGGGTCCACGCAGCAAAAACAGGAGCACCAGGTTGTCAAGTTGCAGCAAAACGTAAACGAGAGTTTACCCTTGATCAAACCCACCATATAAAGCATAATAAGCGGTTATATGCAGATGTGCACACACAAGGTTGTACAGCACACAGGAGGGGAGTGAGAGGAGACGGCACAACACGACATCGTGTGTACAAAGCTGCGCATTCGCAGCAAATAAAGACACGATTGGTTTGAGGCGTGCAAGACAATGCCCTATCCGCTGTGCCAAGTCCTGTTCGGCCTCCCCAAAATGGACCCCACGAAGTCCCGGAAAACAGCCCCAAAAGCTGAGTTTTGGAGGGCTCTGGGCAAACTTGGGGGGGTCCATTCTGAAGACCCTTTAAATTAAAGTGCTGCATAATGGTATTATGACATGTGTTCCTGTGTAGCCCAAAGGCCCCAAAAAGTACATCTACAGATGGTATTGTGTAACGTTCCGTTTTACAACCCTGCCTCGGTGAACGAAAATCACCTTTGGATTTGTTGAGATTCTTGCAGCCAAAATGTTACCACATTCCAAAGTTCATTGACTTACGTTCAACCCAAAATCGCATCTGGATACAAGATTTTTTGAAAGATTGATCTTCTCAAACAGTTGACATTGTTGACATCTTCAAAATAAGGAGTGATATATACACATAAAATTCTCATCTAAATTTCCTGCTGGGGTTGGGTCACCAAAACTCAGTGGAAAATTCAAACTTGAAAAAGACCGAGTTTTACAACATCTCGGCTTTTTTGGGGTTCCTGGCCCCGGTGACATATATTCTGACTAAGCGTATCCCGCCACACAAAACAGACATCAAAGCGCAACACGCAGCCACGCATGCGGCGCAACAACACCCGTGCATTACGCAGGCTTCACCAGGGCAACAAAAACAGCGGGATCTGCAAGCAGAACCCTCACTTTTAGGCCCAAAAGACAAAAAAGTACATAGTCCCAACTATGCTGAACAAAGTTCCTTTTGGGACCACTTTCCACAAGATCTCATAGGACCTCAAAAAATTGTCCCTTAGACTTGCTGGGCTTGGGGTTTTATAACGAGCCGTTTTGGGTCCAGGAGTCCAAAATGAATCCCGACGGTAATACATATCCGTTGGGGTTCAAAACCTAAACCTATGCTGGGCCATGCATGGGTTTGGTGAGGGCCATTGGGAGTTTTTGTTGGGCCCATGTCGAGTCTTTGAATAGGTTTCTTTTCATATGTGGCGTCTCTGGTGGCTCAAAGTTAACTCCAATATTATTTTTGATTGGAGCGATTTCTTCAGGGAAACGACATTGTAATTTACAATTGCTTTGCACATCCTTGCATCGATTTTTACTACGCTAAATTCACCGACCATGGGGTTAAAGCGCAAACACTTGAAACCAGAAGGCCACAACATAAACTTCAGTAAACGCCGGCTAAAAGGAGGGAAGGTGACCACCAAGGTCACAGTTTACTGCAAATTGTTGTATGGCTGGCCACGCACTTTACCCACAAGATACCCCAAAAACATTGTTGGAGGAAGCCAGTTGTGAGCGTCTTCGTAACTGCCTTCGTTTCGGAAGGTTCGCGTAATACCAAATTAGAGATAGGGAGGAGAAAAGGGGTTCTTGTCTTTGGACACCTGATTAGGTCAAACAGAACCAAAGACAGAACAGTTGCTCAACTGACATCCATGTCAGTTAAATCAACAGCGCGTTTAAGTTAGAACCGTTGTGTTGGTGTTTTCCATTGTTTGTGCAGCTTGATTTGTTTGTCTGTACAGTGTGCACGGCTGCAGGCTTTTAACATGAAACCAAATTTCTCACAAAAGCCCATTTTTTTCGGTGAAATAAAAAGTTTATCCTTTTTCGTTCCTCAATGGAAGCCACCCACATATAATATCTATGATTATCATAATATATATATATATATAAATATGTAAATATATAATATAGTGATATAGATATGGATAAACAACATATATCAATATGTGGTCTTTTTACACAAAGTCCCATTTGGTTCTCTGATGCAGAATTCAATCCTCTCGCAAAGAGAAACAACACTTTACCGGGTAGGTGGCGGAGCCATTGTGCCTAGGGCGGCCTCTAACCACGTAGTGGTATAAGATCTAAAGTTGGTTTGAAGTGCTCGACGTGTGTCCTTCAAACATGTTTCTTCCGATATTCAGCCATGTCTCCAATACTGTGGAGCTTCTTCCACGCACGGAGGCAAACCTGTTGCCCAAGCAAATTCCAATCCACTGTTTCACCCTCAGACTTGTTCACAAGATCACGAATTGTGTGCAGAACCTCGGCTCTGCCCAATGATGGAAACTTGTCTGCATGCTTCATCAAGTCGCTCATGAAACAATGTGCTAAATCACACTTGAACAGAAAGCTTTCCTCGTTTCATTCATCTACTCTTTCTTCAAGAAGCTGAATGATCCTGGTCAAGTTTATGCAAAGTAAAGAACGACTGCCGGTACTCCAGCAACGAATCAAACCTCTCAGTGGCAAATAAAGCCAGGCAGTTTCGCCGTTTGCATCTACAAGGCTTCCCCAGAATGGCTCTTAGAGCTGTCGGAGGGTCCACCGAAGATGCGGGTGGAGATGGCTGAGAAGAAAGTCGTCTTCGTTTCGCCCTTCGATGAACTGGCGATGGCGGCTCTGGAGCCAGTGGCCCCTCGCCATCACTCTCAGAAAGCAAAGCTACATCACCAACCGGCATGTGCTACCTTGGGCTGTAGAGTTTAGATGAAGCATCAACGATGGTTTCAGAATAGCCACATGGTTTCAAAGTCGCCAACTGCAATTTACTCCTTTTCACAACACCCAGGAAAAAAGCTGGAGCGCAAACCATTCTATGCTACATGGCAGGAGTGAGAAACAATAGTGACAAATCACACACACACACATTGAATCGCGGCTGAAAAAGGAAAGTGAGGTAACATAATGCTGCAGCGACACCGCGGTGAAATCTGCAACAACACCTGGGGCAAAAAAACCGTCACCGGTTTTGGATCTTTGATCTGACTCCACAAATCGACAGCTTCAACATATCTTCAACCATGTTTTCTTGCACAAATCCTCTCTCTCACCATCATGCAGTACAACAAAACAATTTCTCCCAGCTCGGTCCTGTAGCTTCGGGATGGTGAGCAGGCAGCTGAGGGCTTCGCTCAACAGAACCATGGCACGGGATTCTAGTCAAGTCCTGTCCTGTGATCTCATGGCGCTCTGCAAGCTCTACCTTCCCAATGCTCAAACATCCTTTCTAGCCCACGAAACAACATGCTTTGTGCTCTCTAAGTTTGATGCTTCACCAGCTTGAAGGCGAACTGGTGGCACAACAGTCCAACGCATGCCTAATACTGACACAAAGACATCACGGCCTGCAAGCAGCAACTAGCCAAACATTTTCGCACACAAACGCTTGTTCCATGTCTTCCTTCTGACGCTACCTAATATTAAAATTTCCAAAGTTGGCTCAAGGGATTGAACTCGCCTCTTCACGAAGAGGAATCCTGACAGATGGCTGGAAAAGTTTGAAAACGCTGGAATGCTGGAAACATGGGCAACGCACCCTGCCTCAGAATCCGCTGTCTTCTGTGCACCAGAAATCGACATCTCCAAAAGCAGCATCAAATCCTCGAGTACTGTAGCTGCATTGCCCAGCGTCTCCAGACAAGGGTCTGGCACAGAATCCCACTCATCTGACCACAAACAATCGGAAATGAAGTGGCAAGAGATCTTCACTTCCTTCAAGCATTGCTTCCAGTTTTCTACAGTTCCCCGCTCTTGAACAAAAGAAGCCAAGCCTTTGGTGTGAACAGCCTGGAGCATGCAATCTTCAGGGCGAACGTTCAACTCATCAAACAAAACGCCATGGGCCACGGATTTGCCCATAGTGAGCGCAGTTCCAAGTTCTACGAAAGGTGCCACTAGGCAATACTGCCCACATGTTTCGGAAATCTTTCTGCAGAATTCACGGGTAGTCTCTGCTGAGTTGGTAGCGCGAATGAACTTCTCCGACAAAAGAGTCACGGGCACCACGGTTGTCAAAGACCTGATCTCCGAGAAAAGATCTAACCGTCTGGTCCACAAAACCTTGGGCCATCACTGGCCATCACAATAAATTCCAAACGAAATCCAAACCGCTGGCAGCAACGAACAAATTCGAATCCGGAAAAGGTGCACTGCGCAATGAGATAAAAGGCAAAATGACTAACAGCGTCGACATGAGCAGGAATTGAAAAGGGGGAAGGTGAAACTGACACTTGAAATTAAAAAATCTGCAACATTGAACATTACCTAGGTCCAAAATCCAGGATCAAAGGACTTGAGTCTGCCTGCAATCTGGTGTTTGTTCCGTGGGCGGAATATGGCACCAGCTTTCGAAGCTAATTTGTCTTGGCATGTCTTGGCCGATTCGATGCGGCCATCTTCAGGGCTCCAAACACGAACCAACTTGAACTCAGGCATTGGCAAAACTGGACTTTATAAATGTGTAAACTGAAATCTGGAGTAAGAGAACAGGAGCACATGCTTCAAGTTTCTTTGTGAGAAAACATTAAAGAACATGCCAGCCGACCGTCCCTTGTAAAGGAACAACAATGTTCCCCAGCGTGTGCATTCGGCACGCGTCTTCCTCGGATCGTTCATGACCGAGCCAGTCCAAAATAGACGCCGGCCTGCTCAGTCGGTTCCACTCAGCAGGGATGATCTCTTGCAGAGGTCGGAGTTGATCCTGGGAACAAATCAACATCAAGTTGTAGAGTCAATGGGAACTTACTCCAAAAATGACCGGTCCTGCCAGAGCTTGCATCCAACACGTTTGGCCAAGAAGAAGACCCGACCACGCTTGGCCTCAGATCGGCCAGACAGAAAGAAGCGCCCACCTTATGAAAAACACCTGAAGTGTCTTCAGTCAGACACCTCCAGCCCGACATTGTTCAAGAAGACCGTGCTCCACGACAGATGCAGTCCACGTTTGGAGGTCTCCTGTCGGGAATCTGTGCGCACAAGAACCATGAGATTACTAGACACAATGACGCGTCCTGCACAATCACCCACATGATCTTGCGCATCGCTGGCTTCGATCCCAGGATCGACTTGACATTCTCTAATCCCAGAAAGCACCTAGGTACACAAACCATAACAAACTAAGACAAGAAAAACTTAGAGAAGCAGCTCAGGGCCCAACGGGTCAGCCAACTCATCATAGATTCGGAAGACCTCCATCAGGAGACCGGTCCTACGGTCCTGGAGGCCTCCTTGGCCCCCCGCACAGGACACTCCCTGCCAGCACGGGGAATAAGAACAACAAAAGAATCAAGTTCACATCAAGAGAAATTACACGCGAACATCTATGATTCTAATTCACATCAAAAGAGGCTTCAACTTTCAACTGTTGTGTCATTTCATTCAGGCACCTGACATGGGAACCCTCCTATGGCTCCACGGGCCACGTTGGCAACATCAGCAGCGGAAGGAGAAAATGTCTTCACGTCTGAATGCACTGGGGCTCTGTGAAGGCAATGGTTTCGCATTCGGGCTTTCAGAGCCTGTTGGCAGAAATGGTCATTCTCCACCTCAGAAAGAGCCAATGGCATTTAGCAGCACCTCTCAGATTTCTCCCAAAATCAACTCCCAGAAAGTTTGAGGCACACGCGTAGTGCACTGCGTAAATGTGCCTCACCCAACAGAGTCAGCACCAGGAACAAACTTCCTGGTAAAAAAGCAATGTGCCATTAGCTCCTGACCTGAATGATGCAGTGAGCTGGCGGTCGACCCTATTTTAACATCAATTGCGCGGTCGCTTTTGTGGTGCACCATCAGTAACCTGAAAGATGAAAAAGACAATTGAATCTGAGAGTACCAAACCACTCTGACAAATTTTGAAACGCTTGGTGGCACATTGAATGCTCTGAATTTGCCCAAAGGAACTGCATTCTGAGCTTGGCCTTGAAGCTCTGTCCATGCTTTCAATGCCCACGACCATTGCCACCTGACCGATTTTGATGTTGAATGACTTGGGGTCAGAAGTGAACCACATGAAATCCTGGAATCACAAAATGCCAAAAGCCGAGAAGCAGTTTTCCCTGCCATCGCGAAAAGATCGGTGTTCCGGCTGGCACCCTGACAGAAACACAACATACCCTCTGAAGAATGTGGCTGGCGAGCGCAGCAACACTGACTGAAATAACTAAACAACTTGCCTGATTTGGTTCACCCCAACACATCTCACGGACGCGAATTGCGTCGTTGGAGGTTGCAGGGCTTGCTGCAAGTCCGGTGTTGGGTCTGCCATGGCACGCACGCTGTGCTGGCAGGGCCACTCGTCTTGTATGGAAAAAAAAGATTTTTTTTTGACTCCACCCCCAAATTGTATTGCCACGTCAATGCCACACTGCCTTTTGGCTATGAGCCAGGGCTGTCAAAACGTAACAATGTTGGATTCACAGACAATGGCTTCCATACCCCGTGCCAAACATCACCATCAGATTCAGGATTCCAAATGCACTGAGACTGGGGCCTCGAAAGGCCCAGGTCTAGCCCTCCCACTCCAGAAAAGAGAGAGACTACTGGCTGCTTCCCATCCTTCAGTTTGCCATTTGTGCGCATGTCTATTCTGTAAAACGAAGCGTGTTTCACTGCTGGGGGCAGGACAGTTTTCAACGCATCCGGCCAACAGTGTTGGAAATCGCTCATCTCCACCGCATCTGCTTTGGGCGATGTCCAGCCAAGAGGCAGTCCTGCAAAAACCAAAAAACGATCATCAAATAACCTTCAAAAATCAACCAGTCCTTGGAACCACTCACCGGCCGCGACGGTGAGGTACCGTCCGGCTTCACGTCCAGAGTCTTTCAGCATTGCTTCATATTCTGCAGAATATCGTATCTGGTTCGCTAAGTCCTCATGGCTGCAAACAAAAAATGGCCGTGAATGTGCAAAGTGTTGTTTAGGCTCAGGCTGACGAAGCTCGCACAGACACGTGATCTGCAGCACTTGCTACAGTTGTAGCTGTGAAGCAACCTGGGCACGTTATTGACAACGACTCAATGCATCCAAAAACAGACAATGGAAAACAATACCTTGTTGACATGAAATCAATGACATAACATAATGTTGATTTGGAAACACCAACCTCCCTTTGCTAAGTTTCCTTACGTATGGAACTCCAACTTGCCGCAGTCTTCGACCCTTCAAACACTGTCGCACCCTTCTTGGTCACCTTCGTCCCTGTACGTGACTTGGGCGCCACCTCATCATGGGACATGCTCAAACCTGAAATTCTATTGGAGGCACATGGAAGTGCACTGGTTTGGGAATCGGACCAGTTTCAGGTTCAACTTCTGTTTCTTCGGGAGCTCGCACCGGTAGGGTTGAACCGTTGCTGCATTCTTGCAACCTGCGGATGCCACAGCAAACAGCGGCAACACCTTTTGTTTGAGGTTTTTCCAGGCTACACTTGCCCCAAACGGGCTATCATTGACTTTCAGTTGCTTCTTTTGCACACGTCTCTTTGCGCATGGTTTTTTCAAGCCTCGCCCACCTCGTTGCACAACCTGAGGCAAGAAAAAAGACTCTTGACTGCAAAACTCTTTCACAAAATATTCGATGCCTGCTTGTTGGCCATGGTCGGAACACCTGGACCAGGACCAGGAGCTGTCTCTTCGTCCGACCTGCCACTGGGAAATTCTCAATATGGCCCCCTTTAAAGTTGAAAACTAATTGATATTACTGAGGATCAAACTCGCTCAAGTCCAGCACATCTCGGGGCATGGCTGGAACTAAGTGCCAGTGCCCAAAACGGCTGCAGAGAAATGTGGGAAAATGTCCGTTTCAAAAAAAGGCTGCAGAGAAACTTGCAAGGAAAAGCGCGCAGAAACCTAAATCTGAAACAAAAGAACGTGATGGAAGCCCAAGATCAGGCAAACGACAATCAGTCCTTGTTTCTATCAGGCAAACGGCAATCAGCATGTCCTTGTTTCTATTGAAGCGTCAAAACATCCAGTTTCACTACTGCTCTCAAGTATTGAAGGGCATCGGCCCACAACAATAAAACGTCTTCCACATGTTCAGCACAATGGGCATTCAGTTCTGTATGTACACGTCTTAGCCAGTACAAACCTCTGGATAGGTCCTGTGAAAGCTCCTCGGCAAAAGCACAATGCTCCAAAGCACTCAACGGGTTTTTTCCCACAACAAAATCGGATATTTCACTTTCAATGGCATCGATCGAATTTCCAGCCGTGCTCTCATCACACACAGCATTTGCGGAAATCAAAGTTTCTGCAGCGCGCAAGGCCAAGAAAAAGGGTAACAAAGAGCATCGGGGGCCCAGGACCTGCAATAGAAGGCCGCTAACCGCGGTCACCTGCACCAATTCCTCCACAAATTGCAGCTGTTCAGGAGACTGCAACATTTGGAAGCGGGCTGCCAAATGCAACACCACACCGATTGACCAAGCCACCGCCATGTTGGCGGCAAAGTCGCCACCAAAAAAAATACGGACTCGAACTTCAAAGGGCTAAGCGTCACGGCCGGGCGGGAATCAACTCACCCCGCATACACGGCAAATAAAATTCATAGTTGGCTTCCCGAAACTAAGCACATTTTAATTAAAGTCAATGTGATCCGTATCTACAACCAACATGGAAACTTTGTGTTTAGACTTACTGCATGAAAACGTATTAATTCAGTAAGCCCTCAAACAGATTTGCATTTTGGACAGCCTTGAACTCAGTGGTTTTTCCTCTGCGCTTGAGCCAAAGCAAGGCACCCTGCGTGCCTACTGGGCGTGGAAACCTTTGTCAAAAGCATAGTAAGTTTTTTGGAGGAGCATCCTATGGCTGGGAAGCTCCACATCAGACCCCGAATCTGTAAAGGAAGCAAGAAAGCAGGATTTGGAACCCCCATTCAATTTGGAACCCCCATTCAAGGGAAATTTCTTTTAGATAGATCGATAGATAGATAGATAGGTAGATAGATAGATAGATAGAGAAATAGATAGAGAGATAGATAGAGAGATAGATAGAGAGATAGATAGAGAGATAGATAGATGGATGAATAGATAGATAGATAGATAGATAGATAGATAGATAGATAGATAGATAGATAGATAGATAGATAGATAGATAGATAGATAGATAGATAGATAGATAGATAGATAGATAGATAGATAGATAGATCAGATAGATCAGATAGATCAGATAGATCAGATAGATCAGATAGATAGATAGATAGATAGATAGATAGATAGATAGATAGATAGATAGATAGATAGATAGATAGATAGATAGATAGATAGATAGATAGATAGATAGATAGATAGATGGATAGATAGATAGATAGGTAGATAGATAGATAGAGAGAGAGAGAGAGATAGATAGATAGATAGATAGAAAGATAGATAGATAGATAGATAGATTGAGATAGATAGATAGATAGATAGAGAAATAGATAGAGAGATAGATAGAGAGATAGATAGAGAGATAGATAGAGAAATAGATAGAGAGATAGATAGATAGATAGGTAGATAGATAGATAGACAGATAGATAGATAAATAGACAGATAAAAAGATAAATGGACAGATAGATAGATAAATAGACAGATAGATAGATAGATAGACAGATGGATAGATAGACAGATAGACACATAGACAGATAGACAGATAGACAGATAGACAGATAGACAGATAGACAGATAGACAGATAGACAGATAGACAGATAGACAGATAGATAGATAGGTAGATAGGTAGATAGATAGATAGATAGATAATATAGGATCAGATTAGATTAGATTAGATCGGATCAGAAAAGATAGGATAGATAAGATACCAGTAGTACCCGCACGAGGCGGGGCCGAAGTGGCCTTCAGGATATATGAGAACTTTCTCATCTATAGAACTTGCATGCGCCGTGCGCCAGCCAAGCCCGTGCGTGCGTGCACTCTGCGAAAGTTGTGTCCTGTTTCACATGTCACATTTGAAGCTCCACTTCGCATTTCACACTCCACACTGCACGCTTCCCACTGCAAACTCCACACTTCACACTTCACACTCCACACTTCACACTTCACACTTCACACTGCACTCTTCGCACTCAACTTCACTTCACACTTCACTTCACACTGCGCTCTTAAGACTCCACACTTCACACTCCACACTTCACACTTCACACTTTACACTGCACTCTTCGCACTCCAAACTTCACACTTCACACTCCACACTTCACA